GTTCGGGCCTTTGGGGCAGGATGGAGGGGTCTGGGCAGGCTCCTGGGTGGGGGGAGGCTGCAGGACTCACACTCGCTTCCTCTGCACCAGCTCCACGTAGTCCTCCGAGCGTGCATAGTACTCGTCGGGGCTCAGGGCTCCCCAGAAGTTAGACCACAGCTTCCCATGGCGAGACAGCATGGGCGCTATGACCTTCCTGTGGACAAGCGGAGGTGAGAGCCAGAAAGGGGCAAGCCCCATGGCCAGAGCGGGAGGTGGGGGTTCCCTGGGGACTAATCTGGGGGCCCTCTGGCCAATCCCGGTGAGAGAGACCTGTTTGCTTCAATGAGGATGCGCAGGGTCTGTGGGTTGGTGAGGACAGTGTCGGCGTCCAGGCTGAAGTAGAATTCACACTTGGGGTCCTGCCGGCAGATGTCCCTGGAGGGGACAGACCAAAACACAGATGAGCAGGAGCAGGAAGGGGGAGGCGGGGGCTAAGCAGGGTGTGGAACTCCCCTGAGCCGCGGAGGAGAGGGAAAGTGAGTAGAAGGAAGCTGAGCAGCTGGAAGTCAGGAGGGAAAAAAAAGATCACGGGGAGCAGGGGAATGGTGGGAAAGGTGCGGGCGGAGGCTCCCCCGCCCTGCCCGAGGCTCACTCACATGGCCATGTCCCTGGCCTCTCCTGGGGTCAGGGCCTCCTCGGGCCCCACCAGCTTCACAGTGGGGAAGTGGTCCTGGAGCTGGGGCCAGGAGTCATCGATGTGGGGCTCGTGGTACACCTCCTGGAGGTGCGGGGAGACGAGATTGGGGGGGAACACTGAGAGGGCAGGAAGATGGCATCTAAGGGGCAGGACGGGGCGGGAAGAACACTTCCTGCAGGAGGAAGGCTGCAGGAAGGAGTCTGGGGTGTGGGGAGAGGTCTGATCTGGGCAACGGGGCAGGGGGGCCCCTTGGGAGGGAGAGGCTGGAAGTCAGGGTGTCTCACGTTGTTGTGCAGGAAGAGGGTGACCCTGTCGGGGGGGTAGTCCAGGAGCAGCAGCCGCTGGAGGAAGCGGGGCAGGAACGGGGTAGGTTGTTCCACAAACACAGCCAGAAGTACCCGGGGGGGAGGCTGGAAGATACGATGATGACGTGATGGGGCTCAGGGGAAAGCCCGGCTCCCCCTACCCAGCCTGTCCTCCGCACCCTGCCAGGCTTAGTGGGGGGTGGGGGGGTCTCCAGGGGCTTTGCCTCCAGCCCTGCTGCCCAGCACCTTCCTGGCACCCTCTACTTCAGAGGGCTCTCCCACCCACTCAGCCACCCTGGCACCCCCTCCTCACCTGCCCCCCCGGGAGTGGCCTCCGGTCCTGGTCACAGAAGCCACAGCCTCCTTCGGGAGTCCAGCCATTGGGGACGTAGTTTCCCAGGTAATTCAGCTGGAGCTGTTAGCAGAGGCGGTGAGAGGCCAGGGCCAGGGGTGAGGGAGGTGGGGGCGGGGACCGGAGAGGGGCAGGGGAGCGTGGACACGGAGAAGCTCTCCCAGCTCCTGTGCGTCTGGGGCCGGGGAGGTCTCACGGCTCGGAAGGGCTGGAGGAACCTGGGGGCTGTGGGGCCGGGGCTGACTGGGGCAGGGGCTGGGCTGAGGGGAGGCGAGATTGCAGCACCTTGGTGGGGCCGTTCCCATGGACTACAACAGGAAGTGTGTCGTAGGCCACATTCCGGATACGCACTCGATTCCGACCAAACTTTAAAACCACCTCATCTGGGGAAGAAGGTCCAGGCATTAGACTCCCTTACTCTAGAAACTACCAATCAGCAAGTGCTTCTAAATACGGTGGAGGTGGTAGTGGTGGGGCGGGGAGGTACCTAGGTGTTCTAGAGGATGAAGGACCGTGGTCCATGGGGCAGGGATGGGATAATGTCTGTCTCCAAGGGCACTGGCCAGGCTGCTTCCACCTGGGGAGCCCCACCACTTACTACCTGTGCACCTCGGGGAAGTCTCTGGCCCCTCAGGGAGGTGGTTTCCCCATCTGTAACCGGTGGATAATCACAGACCCGCCCTTCGTAGGACTGTTGTGTTCAATGAAATTAAAGAAGAAAAACCCTGACCCAGAGCCTGGCACGGAGCGATGGACATGTAAAACAGGGGCTGCTGCTCTCCTGGAAGCAGAGTGCACCTCACTCTGTGAGCCATTCAGACGTTTGCTGAAGTTAACACAGAGGTGAGCTGAAGTTCACCCCGGTTGTACCAGGAGCCCCGCCCACTTTCAGGACCCCCAACAGCCTCTCTCATCGCCCCTTCTCTCATTGCTGTCTCCTCACCTAAAGCCCCGTTGAGGTTCTGAAAGATCCGCGATTTATGATCCAGACTAAGGCCGAGTTTCTCCTGGATGGGATGAGGTGGGGGCAGTGAATTAAAGAAGGGGCTGAGACGTATCTTCCCACTCTTTCCTTTGTCTTTCTGAAAGCCTCTTGACCCTTTTCCTCAGGGCCTGCTACCCCCTCAGAGCTGTGGGGGGAATGAAACCTCCTCAACCTCTCCCTACCCTCAGTCCTGGGTCCAGGTAGAGTCGAGTGTAGAAGAGCTGATCGTCATCGTCATCTTTGTACTTCCACTGGCGGACGATTTGGTGGATGGTGGGGGCAAAGCCAATGAATCCTGGGTGGGGGGAGAGGATGTGCTGACTCCCAGACTCCCCAGTGTCCCAGGGCCGGTCCCCACTCCCTCACCCGCCCTCAAGCACCTGGGACGCTCCATTCCCCACCACTGCTGGACCCTCTGCCACTCACCACCAGAGTTGAGGAAGCGCTTCCCCGTGCCCACCTCAGGGTACTGCTCTGCTAACCCCCACTCGGGCCAGCAGAAGCTCTCTGCAGAGAAGAGCAGGCGGCTGCCACTCTGGACGAACTTCTTCAGCAGCTCCGAAGGGCTGCCAGCCAGAACCACGTCATAGCTGGGGAAGGCAGGGGACGATGAGGAGGACGGCCACTAGGAATCGCCCTATCCACTCCCTTTCTGCCCGCCCCCTCCCCTTTACCTGTCCACAAACATGATGACCATATCTTCCCTCTCTGCGTATTTCTCCATTTCTTTCTTGAGCCACCTGACTTTCTGTCCTCCACCCACCGTTCGGGCGACATCACCCCCTCGCCACTCCTCTCCCAGGCCCAGGGTCTGTGGAGGAGACCCAGAATGCCAGGGAGGGTCTCAGGTGGCCAGGTGGGCACATCGCCCTGACCAGGCTCACCGGAGCGTCCCAGGCATCCAGCCCTTGGCCCACTCTGGGTGGGGGGGTTAGACGCCACCCCCACCCCTTCGAGGGGCCCAGGAGGGGTTTCCTCTCCTCACCCGCACAGTGTAGTTGAAAAACTCTGCTGACTGCAGGAAACGCCGGTATCCCTCTGTCTTGGCTGTGGCCACGGTGATCACCAGCAGCTTCTCTGTCACCAGACGGGACTCAGCACCCAGCTTGCTGCCCCATGCGCTCAGCTCACGGACCACCCCTCCCCTCCCCCCCACCCCACCCCACGCTGCTCCTGTCCTCGTGTGCGTGTTAGTTGCTCAGTCGTGTCTGTCTCTTTGCCGCCCCATGGACTGTAGCCCACCAGGCTCCTCTGTCCATGGAATTCTCCAGGCTAGAATACTGGAGTGGGTTGCCATTCACTTCTCCAGGGGATCTTCCCGACCCAGGGATCGAACCCAGGTCTCCCCCATGGCAGGCGGATTCTTTGCCGTCTGAGTCACCAGGGAAGCCCAATCTCTTTTCCCTTATCCCTTCCTAAATTATTCCAATTCAGGGAAACCAACCCCAGTGAGAGCGGAATGCTAGTAACACTCAGAAATTCGCGGTCAGTGCGCGAAAGGGGGTGGAGGGGGCGGCTAGAAACCCCAGTTCTGGGCGAGGCACCGTGTGATTCAGCCCTCGGGAGCCCGCTCACCGAGGGAGAGGCCAGCTTAGATCCCCCTCCCCGGCCCAGGCCCGCAGACACGTCAGCCCAGGGCCGGTCGTTCCTCCCGGGGTTCTCACCTGGGTTGACGGGATCGCTGCCCCGGGGTCGATCTGAGGCCGAGGCGGCAGGAGACGGAGACAGCAGTAGCGACAGTAGCAGCAGGGGCCGGAGTGCCGGGCCCGAGGCCATGGCGGAGGGCGGGCCGAGCTGCACACAGGCCCGCACCCGGCTCTGGCTGTCTGCCTTGGATCCCAACTCGGGAGAGGGGCTCTCGGAAAAAGGACCGGGGCTGCCGTACGGCCAGCAGCTAGGAGGAGCCCAGTTGGGGCTCCGCCCTGGGGGTGAAAAAAAAAAAAGGCGTAGCCGGAGGTTACAGAAAACTCCAGATGCCTAGACAAGGCGAGGATTGTCCCGGGCCGCCGGCACAGCCGTAAGAGCGGCGGGGGCGCCCAGCCCGGAGGCGGGGGAAGGGCAGGGACTGCGGCTGGCGATCCCGAGCCGAGGTTCCTTTAGAGCCAGCCCGGCCCCCTGCCAGCCTAACACTTGAGGAAACTGAAACGCGGAGAGGGGAAGTGACCCCTTGAGGGTCCGGCAGGACGCGGAGGCGGGTCTTTGCCACAGCCCAGCCTGGAGCAGCCGGGCGGAAGACCCGGAGAACTAGGCGGTGGGGCTGCACTGAGCGGGTACGGCGGCACGGACGGAGAAGGCGTGGGAGGCTGCAGCCTCAGGAGGGATAGGGGTTGAGGTTTTGGCAGAGGATCCTCTGGGACTTCCCACTCAAGCCTGCCCATTTTCTTTCGCTACTCTGGCCCATCATCTCCACGGCCCGGGGGAGGAGCTCCAGGGGCTGCCTCTGTGATGATTCTACGTTCGGAAAGGCCAAAGGAAAATGACGTTTCTTGAAAGATCGCTGGCACCGTTTCTTTAAAATGACCCATTTCGGGGGTTCTGAAATAACACAGCTGCACCGAGGCCGGAAGTAGTTTTGCCCGTAAAAAACATGGCGGAAAGCTTTCTGGTCTCCAAGGGAACACCGCGTAATTAGTCAAAAAAAAAAAAAAAAAAACAAACCTGTGGGATGACTCCGCGCACGCGCAGGAGCACTCGTCGCCGGATGTCATGATGCTACGACCCACAGCACGTGATTTAGCACGCGTGCGCAGTAGGCCCATCTCGCAGCTGTGTTGTGGAAATGGTGGAGAAGAAAACTTCGGGTAAGTCAGCCTGTGGCTGTTGGCCCACTCTCTTCCTCTCAGATTCGAACCTGGCCTAGGATTCCCTCACCCGGTTATTAGTTTCAAATCCCTCCCCCGGCGCTCCGGTACTGACAGCCCCCTAAACCCGGGGCAGCTCCCTTCTGTTCACGTTTTGTTCATGCGTGCTGCAAACCGGTTGCTGGGGATGAAGAAAGAAGAAAGATCCTTCTCGTCTAAGAACTGGCTTTCCGGGAGCGGGGCAGACACGCAGACCTACCATTGCGTTTCAGAGTGATACGTGCTATGGTAGAGAGATGCAAAGCGCCTGGGCTCAGGGAGGAGTGGCATCCAACCCAGCTTCTGGGAAGGAGGGGACAGGGAAGGCTTGGAGGGAAAGAAAACGCTTGGACTGTGTCTTGAAAGTTACGGTTTCACTCCGTGCAAGTGCGTGGGGACTCCTTCCCTGTGGTGGTAATCGCACGCGCCAAGGTAGGAGAGCAAGAAAACGTAGATCGCTTAGGAAACCAAGTTCACAGTTCCCGGGCTTGAGGAGAGAGAGGCTGGAGGACAAGGGAAAGGTACCCTTGAAAGGCATTTTAAACACTGCTGACGAGTTTAAGCTCTATAAAGAGGGCAGTGAAGAGCCTTCAAGGGCTTTTAACGCAGGGGATTGACGCAAACAAATTTATCTCTTAGAAAAGGACTTAAGTGCAGAGGGTGGATTGGGGGGGCTACAGCCACACTGTCCAGTAGAAATTTCTGGGATGATGGGAATGTTTTTAATCAGCACTATTCAGTATGGCAGCCAATAGCTGCCTGTGACTATCGAGCACTTGAAATGTGGCTGGTTAGATTAAGCGCTTAATTTAAAATTTCATGCATTTTAATTATTACATCTTAATTAATCTACATTTAAATGAAAATAACCTTATGTGACTAGTGGCTGCTTTATTGTGTAGCACAGGTCTAGAGATTGGAAGGCCAGTTAGGAAGCTATTGAGTAATCCAGATAAAAAGTGATGAGGGTGGGAGCAATCTGCCAGATTAACTTGTAATAAATCCAGTCATGTCCTCTTAACACCCCTCACGGGATCTCTGTCATCCTCACCATAAAGTCCCCAAGCCCAGGAAATTCCCTGGCGGTCCAGTGGAATGGACCCTTAGGACTTGACCCTTTCACTGCCGAGACCTGGGTTCCATCCTTGGTTGGGGAACTAAGATGCCACAAGTCTTGCAGCGCAGCCAAAAAATAAAATATAATTCCCCAGTTCAAATTCATTTAGACATTTAAAGGTAAGATTCTTAATGGTCTGCCTGACTTCATATCCCCTGCCCACATACTTTATAATACCAGCCATATAGAACTTTAAAAAATGTATTGATGACACTGCAGTCTTTCGTCCAGGCCTTCTCTCATGCTGGTACCAATGTCTAAGACACCTTCCCCTCCTCCAACCAGGCTAACTTCTGTTCATCAGTCAGCCGTCAACTTAGACTTACTTTCCCTTGGAAAATCTTCCTGACTACCCCAAGACCTGGTGGCTCAGATGGTAAAGAATCTGTCTGGAATGCAGGAGACTCAGGTTCAGTCCCTGTGTTGGGAAGATTCCCTGGAGAAGGAAATGGCAACCCACTCCAGTATTCTTGCCTGGAGAATTCCATGGACAGAGGAACCTGGTGGGGTACAGTCCATAGGGTCGCAAAGAGTCAGACACGACACAGTGACTAACACACACCCCAGGAATAGGTTATGTGTTTCTGTCATGTGTTTCATAGTACTTTGCACTTTCCCGTCCTAGCATATACTGTCCTGCACTGTGCTTGTTGATTTGATCATTTATATCCCCCACCTGATGTTAAACTCTGGTTGTATTCCCAGAACCCAGGGCACCGCCTGGTACTAGAAAGGGAGGCAGTATAGTACAGTGATCAAGAGGATTTTTTTTGATGCTCGGCAGTTCTGGGTTTGAATTCTGACCCAGGAGCTGCTTATTAGCTGTGTGAACTTTGGACAGGTTTCTTAACCTCTGAACTCCAGTAAACTGGGGATGATAGTGATACCTGTCTCAGAGGGTTGATGTAAAGATTAGTACAGTCAGACCTCAGATACGCAGGCTTGATTCTCGTCCACCATGATTGTGAGTATCACAATAAAGTTGAGTCACACCAATTTTTCAATTTTCCATTGCATATAAAAATTATGTTTACACTATAGTCAATTAAGTGTGCAATAGCATTATGTCTTAAAACAATATATATGCTTTATTAAAAAAAATTTTTTTTAATTTATTTGGCTGTATTGGGTCTTTCTTGTGGGATGTGGGATCTTTCTTTTATTTTTTGCTTGTGGCATGTGGGGTCTGTTAGTAGTTCCCTGACCAGCATTTGAACCCGGGGCCTCCTGCGTTCTAAGAACAGAGTCTTAGCCACTGGCTTACCAGGGAAGTCCCTGTGTATGCTTTAATTAACAATACTTATTGCTAAAAAATGCTAGCCATCATCTCAAGCTTCAGCACATTGTAACTTTTTTTCGCTGTTGGAGGGTTTTGCCTCACTGTGGATGGCTGCTGACTGATCAGGGTGTGGTTGCTGAAGGCTGGGGGGCTGTTGCAATTGCTTAAAATAAGGCAGCAGTGACGTTTGCCACATCAGTTGACTCTTCCTTTCATGAAGGATTTCTCGGTAGCCTGCAATGCTGCTTGATTGCATTTTATCCAGAGTAGAACTTCTTCCAAAATTGAAGTTCACCCTCTCAAACCCTGCCACTGCCAGGGTTTTACATCAACTAAGTTATGTAATACTCTGAATCATTTGTTGTCATTTCAACAATCTTTACAACATCTTCACCAGGTGTGGTTTCCATTTTGAGCACCATTTTCTTGACTCATACATGAAAATTGTGTCATAAGATTGCAGCAATTCAGTCACATCTTCAAGCTCCTCTTCTAATTCTAGATCTCTCACTATTTCCACCACATCTGCAGTTACTTCCTCAGTCATCCTTGAGGATTGAGTCCATTTCTTCTAAACTCCAGTTAATGTTGATATTTTTTCCCTCTCCCATGAATCACAAATGTTCTTTATGGCATCTAGAATTCTGAATCCTTTCCAGGAGGTTTTCCATGAACTATGCCCAGCTCCATCAGAGGAATCATATCTGTAGTAGCAATAGCCTTATGAAATACCTTTCTTAAATAATAAGACCTAAAAATAAAAATTACTCCTTGGTTCATGGACTGCAGAATGGTTACTGTGGCATGAAAACAGCATTGATTTTGTTGTACCTCTCCATTAGAGCTCTTGAGTGACTGGGTACATTGTCAATGAGCAGTAGTATTTTGAAAGGCATCTTTTCTCCTGAGAAGTAGGTATCAACAGTGGGCTTCAAATATTCAGTCAACTATGTTATAAACAAATGTGCTGTCATCCAGGCTTTGTTGTTCCGTTTATAGAGCAAGGGCAGAGTAGATCTAGCCTAATTCTTAAGGGCCTGGAATTTTCAGAATGGTAAATGAGCACTGGCCTCAACTTAAATTCATCAGCCACTTGAGCCCCCAACAAGAGAGTCAGCCTATCCTTTGAAGCTTTGAAGTCAGGGATTGACTTCTCCTCTCTAGCTAGGAAAGTCCTGGATGGCCTCTTCTAATAGAAGGCAGTTTTGTCTACACTGAAAGTCTGTTGTTTAATGTAGCCACCTTCATTAATTGTCTTGGCTAGCTCCTCTGATTTTTCTTCTTTTGGCCAGACCATGCAGCATCCAGGATCTTAGTTCCCCAGCCTGGGATCAAACCTGGGCCCACAGCACTGAAAGCATAGAGTTCTAACCACTGGAGCACCAGGGAGCTCCCTTAGCTCGTTCTTGCTGTAGCTTCTATGCCAGCACTTGTTGTATCACTTTGCACTTTAATGTTATGGCGAAGGCTTCTTTCCTTAAACCTCACGAACCAACCTCTGCTAGCTTGGGACAGCTGACTGGTAGAGCAGCCAGAACTCACACCCATTTGTCAGTTACATCAGCTGTCCTGAGCGTGACTGGTTCCCATTGAGTGGGAGTTGGTTTGCAGGGGGTGAGTTTGGAGTGGAAGGGAGATAAGCAAATGAAACATCACATGGACTGCGCTGTCACAGCAGAGTGGCTGTGAAGTTAGACACATGAGAATTTAGCAGGTTTTGCTATGGAGGGGAAAGTACCAGTTGAGTGGGTGGTGGGGGTGTTGAAGATGCAAGGGAGGGGGAAGACTTGAACTCGGAGTGAAGGATTTGGGTTTAGCAGTGGGACTTGTGGGTGCATCCACTTAGAATGGAAGGAGATGGGGGTACCCGTGCAGTTATGATTGAGGGTGGACTGATGGATAAGCATCTCTGCACGGCGCCTTGTCCTTTGAGGTGGGAAATAAGATTGCACTCACAACAAGGTCCCAGTGGCGCCTGGAAAACCCAAGTGCACTGTGGTCTCCACCGGCATGGTTGTGTGGTTTCCGCCAGCAGTGAGAGGTCTCCAGGAGACATTTCACTGACCAGGTCTGGGATTGGGAGGAAAGGATGGGGCCAAAAGGATGGAAACCAGGCATGAATGACTGAAACAGCAGCCTTAGGTGACTGAAAAGGAAGCAGCCAGAATGGGCGATATATTGGGAGGAGATCCAGGGGCCAAGGGTTTGGGGACTAGGGTGAGATCAGAGAACTGTGGCTCCCACCCCCTGGACATCTTCCTTCCACCCATGGCCCAGAGCCGAGGCCGCCCAGCGTCTCTCTTCTCTGCCCCCGTAACTCTTGTGGCCCTGTCCCATCTAGTTCGCTCCCAGGACCCTGGACAGCGACGGGTGCTGGACCGGGCAGCCCGGCAGCGCCGCATCAACAGGCAGCTTGAAGCCTTGGAGAATGACAACTTCCAGGACGACCCCCACGCGGGCCTCCCCCAGCTGGGCAAGCGGCTGCCTCAGTTTGATGATGACGCAGACACTGGTGAGGCGGGTGGAGGAAGAAGGGGGTGCCAGTTGGGGGGTGGTGGTCGGGAGGCAAGGCTGCAGGAAGAGGGAAGAGCCTGGCCGGGTCAGGGTTGTGTAAGGACGCCAGCTTACTGGGAGCTCCTCTGGCTGCCTTGACCCAAGCCCTCTCCCAGTCTGAGCCTCAGTTTCCTTTCCTGTGTGTAGAATAAAGAAGCCCAGGCAGATGAGCCCTTGAGATTGTCTTCAACACGGAGCTCTAGGTATCGGGAGTGTGGAGATGGAGGAAGGCTCAGGTTGGAGACGTGGGAGGTGGGGAAGGATGGTAGAGAGAGGCCGGCTTAGAACCTGGCAGGCACCTGGGCAGGGAACGGACACGGGGGCATTGGGAACGGTGGGGCAGAGAAGCTTGTGTCTTCCTGGGTGAGGGCCAAGTAACTCATTGCCCTTGACCTCTAGGAAAGAAAAAGAAGAAAACACGAGGTGATCATTTTAAGCTCCGCTTCCGAAAAAACTTTCAGGCCTTGCTGGAGGAGCAGGTGAGAGGAGCTGGCTGGGAGGACTCCACGGGGCAGGAATGCACCTGCTGGGATCCCTGGGTGGGCGGAGCAGTCAGAGCCAGCCCTGCCCCCTTGTCTCTGCAGAACCTGAGTGTGGCGGAGGGTCCTAACTACCTGACGGCCTGTGCGGGACCCCCATCCCGGCCCCAGCGCCCCTTCTGTGCTGTCTGCGGCTTCCCCTCCCCCTACACCTGTGTCAGCTGCGGTGCCCGGTACTGTACTGTGCGCTGTCTGGGCACCCACCAGGAGACCAGGTGAGAGGGGCCTCCCCCGGGTCCACACCCTCCCCTTCCTCCCTCCAGTAGCCTGGGGACCCTCTCTTCATCCAGGGCTTCCTCTGCCCGCAGGTGCCTGAAGTGGACCGTGTGACCCTGGGCGTCCCCAGAGAGGAAGATCCTGTGCATTGCCCAGCCTCAGAGAGAGTATCACCGAAAGAAAAGATGCTTCTCCCGGACCAGGAGGGCAGCCCAGCAAAGCCCGTGTCCTGTCCTCCAGGGAGACCAGCCTTGCTTCCAGGGCCGGAGGCAGGGCGGTGCCTGAGCCCTCAGAGTGCAGTTGTAATAAAAGGTCTCCTGCGAGGATGAGTGTATTTTGAGTCCCAGGACTGGTGATGGGGAAGTGGAGTGAGGGCTGGGGACTCGGAAATAGAAGGGTAACACAGAAGGAGCCAGCCCTGGCTTTGTCTCTGATTCTTACCCAAAGGGGAGAGGCTGGGCCCTTGTCCTTGGTGCCGCCCATCTGAGTTGTCCTTAGGAAGCCTGTCTTATCATGGACTGCGGTGTGTGATTTATTAGTAGTAGAGAAAACCCAGACATTTCTGGGAAGCATCGGAGTTCATGATACAGAGGCCTCTGTTCTTAGTGGCCCTGATGCTACTGATACAACACTGTGGCACTAGAGCTTCTTGCACCCACACCTTCTCTTAAGCAGATTATAAGCCATGAGCTCAAAAATGCCTCGGAGTGGCTGTCTTCAGGCTCAGTACCTTGTTGCAACACAGCAAGGCAGATGGGTAGGAAATATCTGTGACACAGGTTATTTCAATAAGCTATTAATGAGATCCAGCCAGGTTGGTGTCAGGGGCCTTCTTAGCTCTTCAGCCCGCTTTTGGGGACTTCCTTGTGATTGGACACTCTCGCCAGGTGTTACCAGTCTCTTCTTGGGAAGTTGCTTGCTCGCTCTCCTGGATACTGGTGGTTGGGCAAGTGGTATTGGGTGACAGCGTCATGTTGAATGGTGGTAAGGACAGGGTTTAGGAGACAATCCTCAGCGTGGTGGTTTTCAGAAATGGCTGTAAATTTTTTTACCGTCCTTCAAGCATCAAAAAGTGGCTGTCGGTCACCTTCCCCTGGAATCTGGTCAGACTTAACGACTGCTTGGACCAGTAGACAGTGGTGGAAGAGGGATCATGGGACATGAAAGGCCAGGTGGTAAAAGGCAGTGCAGCTTCTGCCCCATCCCTCGACACTTGCCTTTGGAGCCCTTGGCTGCTTCGTAAGAAATCCGGCCGTCCTGAAGCTGCCATGCTGTGAGGAAGCCCACTGTGTGCAGGTCCTTCCGTTGACAGGTCCAGGTGAGCAAGCCTTCAAGCCATCCCAGCCCAGGCTTCCATCATAGAAGTGAAGCTGCTTCCTGATGATTCCAAACCCCAGACATCAAGTCACCCTCACCCATTTGAGTCTTCCTGGCTGTGTCCTCAACATCTTGGAGCAGACACTGGCCATCTCTGCTCTAAATTCCTGACCTACAGGATCCATGTGTATAATAAAATGGTTTATGCCTTTGAGCCTTGGGATGGTTGATTAGACAGCAGTAGTAACTGGAACATCAGCGATTCAGTCTACTGGCTGCTGTCTCTTTGGCCTAGATTAATTATCTTATTCTCAGGCAGGGAAACTTTCCTGGATCCTAACCTTTCTGTTTTCCTCTCCGCCAAGAAGTGCACTCAAGAAAGAAAGGGAATTTCCTGGTGATCCAGTGGTTAGGGCTCGGTGCTTTCACTCTGCTGGGCCCCAGGTTCGATCCCTGGTTAGGGATCTAAGATCCCACAGGTGCACGGTGTGACCAAAAAAAAGACATGACTATTTCTTGACTGAGGAACACCTCCTATGCTTCACTGTGATCTCCTGCTTTGGATTTCCTGTCAGATTGCTGCTGAGTCAGCACAGTCTCCTTGGTCTATTTCCTAAGTGTACTGACTTTGATTCATATTTTGTTGTTCCACATGGTGTAAGATTGGTCTACTCTGACACATTCAAGTCTTCCTCTGCTGGCCTTGATAGGATCCCAGGGGCCTCCTCATGCTGACTGGCTCTACAAGTCATTTATTGATCTTTTCTAGGAAGGATCTCCAGACCCTCATTTAAAACCATAATTCCTCAAGGAAAATCTTGAGCAGTTTTTGCCAGCTTCCTATGTACTAGTGGAGACTTGGTCCCAACCTTGGGAAACACCTGGGTCTTTGGGAAATCCCTGGTGGCTCAGATGGTAAAGAATCTGCCTGCAAGTGGAAGACCTGGGTTCGATCCCTGGGTCAGAAAGATCCCCTGGGGAAGGAAATGGCTACACATGCCAGTATTCTTGCCTGGGAAATCCCCTGGGACAGAGGAGTCTGGTGGGCTACAGTCCATGGGGCCGCAAATAGTCAGACACAACTGAGCGACTAACACTTTCACTTCACTATACTACTAATTATTAGTGCCGCTTACAAGGTTGGACACATCACTTTGCCTCTCCGATTCTGTTACAGCCGCCTCCCAGAAATCGGAGGACTAGAGACTGTACCAGGCCCAGTGCCTGGTGTTCGGTGAGTGCTCAGCTATTGACATCATTGCCCAAGACCTAAGCAGTTTGTTGTTGAGCTTTTTCATAGCCAGTTCCTCAGAAATCAGAGGCTTCTTGGAATAAGCAGCTGTAGCACCTTGCCCATTACATGGTAACTAGCTGTCTGTATTTCTGTCTGCTCCCAGCCTGTGAGTTCTCTGAGGGCAAGGACCAGATCTTGCTTCTGTAGCTTCTAGCAAAGAAGGAAATAATGTTAAAAAGTAGTTCGACAGCCCTTTATAGCCATATGACCCTGCTTGATGGACAAAGAAACCAAAACTTAAACCCATGGTCACATGAAGGCACACAGTCAAGGCTCGAGTGTGAAACTTGGCTCAGGTTGGTTTTCCTGAAACGGGGAAGGGGTGAGAAGAGGCAGATCAGCATCACGTGGCCCAGGGCCTGTCCAGTAGGTTGTTACACTGAGGGCCTGCGTGAAACCCGATTCCCAGTGTCTGTGTTTCTGTACAGTCCCTTCCACGTGGACTTTGGACTTGGCCTGGGGACAGCCACAAATGGTATGAAAGCAGAGTGTGGGTGGGAAGGAGCAGGGAGGGAATAGCATGGAAAGCATGTGTTCTGGGTGGAACCCAGTAGGAAGCCCTGATTCAAATGTGTGTGTCCACGTGAGCAGTCCAGCTTGCTGGGAGACCACAGATATATGGGGGAATAGTAAGAAATGGGGATAGAAAGGTAAGCTAGGGACTTCCCTGGTGGTTCAGAGGTTAATAATCTGTCTGCCAATGCTGGGGACGAAGGTTCAATCCCTGGTCGGGGAACTAACATCCCACATGCCAAAGGGCAATTAAGGTGGTGTGCCACAGCTGGAGAGGAGCCAACTTGCTGCAATAAAGAGCCCACGAGTGTGGAGTGTGGCAACTAAGACACGATGCAGCCAGATTAAATCTTTTAAAAAGTTGGCCTACAGGTTGGATGCATGAGACAAGTGCTCGGGCCTGGTGCACTGGGAAGACCCAGAGGGATTGGGTGGAGAGGGAGGTGGGAGGGGGGACCGGGATGGGGAATACATGTAAATCCATGGCTAATTCATTTCAATATATGACAAAAACCACTGCAATGTTGTAAAGTAATTAGCCTCCAACTAATAAAAATAAATGGAAAAAAAAAAAAGTTGGGCTAGGGCCAGGCAGTGTGTCAAGGCGTGATTGTCTTTGTTTTGCCTTTTTCCTGATGCACCAGGGTGCTGCCAGGGCAGGATGACGAATAGGGAGAAATGGGAACTAGGTCACAAAGCTCACTTAGGGGGATTCTCTAACATTAGAGTCTGGAGATGAGGGCCGGACCCAGTACCAGGCGGGACAAGGGGGAGAACTAGGTGGAAGTGGAAAGCTCTATGAAGGGAGAATTGATAGGATTTGGCTGCCAGCTGAGGGGAGGTTGTGAAGAGGAAGTGAAGGGAGCAGCCAGAGAGGACTGAGGTGGTCAGTCTGTGAGACTCAAGAGTTTGGCCTGGCAGAAACTGTGATTTGGGGGGAAAGTGATGAATTCACCCAGCCTGGTGACAACACTCGAGGGCTGCACGACCCCTGAAGCTCAGGAGAGAGGGCCCAGTTAGAACGCAGGTGTGGGAAGTCTCTACATCCCAGGAGAAAGTCAGTACAGGTGAGCAGATGGGACCAAAGGAAGGTCAAGAGCCACGCCACCGCCAAGGGACTCATTTCTGTACGCAGCACGACAGGGGATGGGTGCCAGGGTAGACCCTGCTCTCTGCTCCTAACACTGGATGCCAGGCTTCTTTCCCTCAGCCTCAGTTTCCTGCCTCAAGTGTGTACCGGCTCTGCTCAGTGCTGGCTGGGCCTGTGCCAAGCATGCCCATGGCCCTGTAGCCACGTCTGAGCTGGATACCATTCAGTCACACACACACACCACCAATACACAGGCCTCTGAACAGACCTCCAGTGCCTTTTCTGGAAGTTACTGAACCATCCCCAGAAAAACGTACTTGCTCCAGGCCTGGCTGACTTGACACCATTTCAAAGGGCTTGTCAAATTTCTGATATCCACTCTCAGGTCCAGGTAAGGAAACTCTAGACCAATCATCTCCTCATATAGCAGTGAGAAAGGTCCAGAGTAAAAAGAGTGACTTGTTATCAGTCTGGCCAGAGGGTATCTCTGCTATTCCGGTCCTTATCTGCTCCTTATTGGGTGTTATCAGTAGTTGTGAGAATGCCACACTCTACAAACTACTTGCAACTCCTTTCCTCCTTTGCCAGATGGGACAGTCCAAAGGCAGTGGACAGGTGACAGCCTGGGGTCCAGGAACTGAAGTGACCCTGGGTGCTGCCTCAGCCACCCCTTGCTGGGTCAACTGCCTCATGACACCTTCAACCCCTCAACAGTTCACAAGTTTATTTATGCATGAATTTATACAGACTGCAAACACTCGGGGACGCCTCCCCCTGCTTAACGGCCCAGAACCTAGACTCAAGGTTAAGAGGGGCCCAGCCTCAGAGGCCAGAGATGAGTTCTCAGGAGGCTGGTTCTTGGCCGCGGAGGATCCAGAGAACCGGAGGAAAGAGGCGTGGCCAGGGCGGAGCTCCGGTGGGAAGGCGGGGCCTGAGGCCAGAGCTGGGTGTGGCTTCCGGGCAGGGGGCGGAGCCTGAAGCGTGGCTTGGCCCTGAACTTGATAACCTGGAGCAGGGGCCCGCGCCCGCAGCCCCGGTATTCCGGGGACCCCTCTCCACTGGGGGCAGTGGGAAGGGAATGGGTCCACAGGCCCGGCCGTCTACACATAGGCGTTCTTCCCGTACTTGCCAAAGCTGCTGTCGCCCTCTTCATCCGAGGCTGCGGCGGGCAGGCGGGCAGCGAGGCTGGCGGCCGGTATCACGGGGGCCTTGTAGGGAAGCTGGGCGCTGGCGGGGGAGAGAACCCGGGTCAGAGGAAGGTGCGGCACTCACCCCGCGCTCCGCCCTCGCGGCATGCCCCCCACTTACCCGGCGGCGGGGTCCCAGTCCCGAGAGCAGCAGCAGTTGGAGAAGAGGCAGATGCCGCCCAGGATGGAGAGCAGGCAGGCGCTCCAGCCCAGGTAGAGGGCAGGGCCCAGCTCGTACCTGGGGACGAGGACGATGAGCAGGCGGCGCTAGCTCGGGAATCACACCGAGACCCACCCGCCGTCCCCCACACTCACTTGGTTCCAGCGTACAAGGGGTCGAAGAAGTCCCTGGTGATGTTGAAGGCGTACCAGGAGACGGCCACCATCCCGCAGATACCTGGGGGAGGAACCGGAGAACCCAGCTAGGCCTGGCGGAGGAAGGGGCGGCCCAGAGAAAGGACATGGGCATCAAGTCCAAGAGCAAGCTTCATCGGATCCCTTTCATTTCCCCTCGCCAGCTCCTCACTTCTGTTTCCTGCGTCCACTGCAGGCTACTCCATCCAACACCCGGGACAGACTGCAGCCCCCCTTTCTTGTCTAGTCTCCCACTCTGCTCCTCAGCCCATTCCCACTGTTTATCCCACACCTGCCCTGTCCCTCCTACCTCTAGTGCCTGGACCACAGTCTCCGCACTAGGAATCTGCTCACCAGCTCCTGCCCATTCTCGAAAGCCCAAACAGTTTTCCCTGATCAGCCTGCCTGCTCTGACTCCCCTTTCCTGGGCCGCCCAGAGACCTCAGTGCGGTGCCAGCTCCTCACGGCTTGGTTCATGAAGGCCTGAAGCCTGCCAGGCCCCTGGACTATAGGTCCAGCCTGGCCGCCCCCGGGGGCCGCGTCTTCCAGTAAGCCACCTGGCTTCTCTGAGCCTGTGTCCACATCTGGAGAACAGGACAAGACCTGCCCTACCTCACAGGCGTGTTGAGGGGATGTGCACAGACATGTTTTGCAAATTGAAAAGGGATGGCAAGTCTTGTGGTACTGTTATTGTGCACCGTGTGTGCGTGCATGTGTGCAGTGTCCTAGCTCTGATCTTCCCAGCCAGACTGTAAGCTCTGGAAGGCAGAAACTCTCACCTTTGGATTCCCTCCCATACCTCGCTCATGCCTGGTTCCTAGTGCAGGCTCAAGAAACATTGCTGATGGACTGATTTATAGCCAAGGGATTTGGTGAGTATGGGTGACGGTGGGGTAAGCAGGGAGAGCAGACAGGTGTCAATGCAAAGGGGAAGGTGAGGCAACCATGGGGTCTGGGTTGCCCACCCCACCCCCACTGCAGTACCACCCCCGCCCGCTGCAGAGCAGGGTCCGCCCATCACTTGCCCCAGTTACCAGCCAGGATGTGTAGGGCTCCTGCGGCGGCTGCCAGCTTGGTTTTCCTGGAGAGCTCCAGGCCCCCAATGTTCGTGCAGCGCAGCCCCACCATGCCTAGGAAGAGGCCCAGGAAGCCCAGGAGGATGGCGGTGATCATGAGCGCCCGGCAGGCCTGGATGTACCCTGGGGAGGTGGGGCGCAGCCATGGGTCCCAGAGCCGGCCCTTTCCCCTCCGTCTGCTCTCCAGCCTATGACAGAGTCAGCCTCTGATGTAACCTGCTCGGGTCTCAGTCTCTACAAGCCCTCAAGCCCTCTCTTTCCCCTTCGGGCCCCATCCAATCTGAGGGGGTCAGGCTGAGGGGTCAACCCCCTCCTTCCCAGGAGCTCACCTCCGCACCTCTCGACCTTCCATGTGCACTTTGCCTCTACGTCTGTTACAAGGCTTATGCTCAGCGCCACTTACACACTTTGGCCAATAATGCTTTGTCCTGGGGGCCATACTCTGCATTGCAGGATTTTTAAATTTTTTTTTTAATTTTTAGCCACACTACTTGGCGTGCAGGATCTTCGTTCCCCGACCAGGGATTGAACCTGGTGACCCCCTGCAGTGGAAGCATGGAACCTCAACCACTGGACCACCAGGGAAGTCCCTGCATTGTAGGGTATTTAGTAGCATCCTTGGCCTTTGCCCATTAGACATCAATTAACAGTCTCCCCAGACAGGGCAATCAAAATCTCTAGACATTGTCAAAAAACTACCATTAGTTGAGAACCGCCATGCTCTGCTGGGTATTACAGACAGTACACTCTGTGAGCACCCCTCCCCTCCCTCCACCTACTGGTCCCATTTAGCACAGTGCGGGACATCCTGAACCGAGCCTCTTCCTGGAGTGACCGATAGGGGGCAGCAGTGGCAGCTTCTAATCTGGAAGGTGGGATACCTGGGCCTAGGACCTGTGCAAGTCAAGTCTAGCTCATATGCTCCTTCCTCAAAGCCGAAGGAAACGGCAGCTCCCTTTCTGGGCCCCCTTTCTCCTCGTCGGTCCTCGACAGTTGCCAAGAGCTCCCAAGGACCTTGCACCCCTTCTCTGGGTGGTGCAGCGCCACCTGTGTTTAAGGGGAAAGGCTGGGCCCCTGCCAGGAAGATGTGAAGTGGCCCAGAGTTGGGGGGCAGGGAGGAGGGGCAAAGTTCCCTGGGAGCATTTTCTCCTTTCCCATCACTTCCTCTGCAGTTCCCCCAGCCTCTCCCCCTACTTATCCATCCATCCACCCCACCCAGCCACCCATCCCCACCTGGGCAGACCAGCTCCGGATCCCCAGGGAGCTCTTGTAGATAAGGAGACATTACTGAAGGGCCATAAGCAGCTGGGTGGCTGTAGCACGAATAAGTAACAGGACCCCTCCCAGGACCAGAACTAGCCTGGGAATGAAGTATTCACTGGCTCTGAATTCCAGCCCCCCGACCACCTGGGTGGCTCAGGGCAGGTCACCATGCAGTTTTCTTGCTTCTGGAAGATGCGGTTACTAATACTGCCAATAGTGGGGCTGTAAACAGCACTGAAATGGTGCACGCGAAGCACTAATGATGCCTGGAACCTCAGCCGTATCCCTGGCCAGCTGCGTGCTCTCTGCCCTCCCCGCTCGGCAGCAGTCCCAGTGGGGCCCCTCACACCACACTGCTGAGTGGCTGCAGCCAATGTCCCTCGTGCCCACCCAGCATTCTGGTATCCGATTCTGGTGTCTGACCCAGCTTGTACTCAGCTTTCATAGAAGTTTTTTATTTTTTTTTGGGGGGGGGTGGTGTCCTGGATGGGATGAGAGCATGAAGCCCCTCCCCTGTAGCTGCCTCAGGAGACCCTGGGAATAGTAGGGGCAGGGGAGACCCACCCAGACTCCCTAGCGGCTCATAGCATCTCTGAAACTTGGGGAGGCAGTTTCCTGGTGTGCTGGCCTCAGCGCCTTCCCCTGCCACCCGGCCCCTGCAGCTGGGGGACCTGGAAGGGCACGACGGCTCCAGCAGCCCCCAGTGAGGGCACGGGAGCTGCAGCGCACTGGGTTCCTGGTCGTCCCCTCGTGGCCTGGCAAGGGGCCGACTGAAGGACTCCCCAGGTCGGGGAGTGATGGGTACAGCTCAGAGCATGAGCTCCAGCCACCAGGGAGGACCTTTTGGGGCCAAAAGAGCTGTAGGCTCCAGCCCACTAACAACCCCAAACAGATACGCACACACACCCCTGACTACAGTGGGTACTGAGCATGCAAGAGGACTCCATTTAAAACAGCCTTCTAGAGCTCGTCATGGCAGTTAGGTCAATGCCCCCGTGGAAGCCTGGTGCAGTTACTGAGACTTCTAAGTATATCATCCCCCAGGAATCCAAGATGGGGTTTCCTCTTCTCCCCATGAGCCCCAGCACTCTCACCCCAAAACTATAGTGCTCAATTTGATAGAGTGAACGTAGATGCCAACCTCGCATTAACATTCTGCACATTTCATCTCACATAATCCTCACGACCACCAGGTGAACCGGTGCTATTCTGACCCAAATTTTAACAGATGGGTCAAATGAAGCTCATTTTATCAGGCCTGAGGCACGGAGCAGGTCCACGGCAGGTGCTGGGGCCGGCACTCTAGGCCCGGTGCCTGAACTTGTAGCCACAAAGACAGAGGGTCATTTTAGGGCAGGGGGCCACGTGTGGTGCGGCCTCTGCCGCAGTTCCAGACAGAGAGATGCCCCCAGCACTCCTGGCTGCAGGAAGCAGGTCTCCTCACTGCGTCTGGCTGCCCTCATCTGTACGGTACCCAAGGTCCGAGCACAGGCAGCGCCCACCCTCCCCGGGGTCTCTCCAGCCTCCCGCCTCCCTCTGCTCCCTTCGGCCCTCCCCAGCCCGTACCGGAGAGGGCCAGCATGGACGGGAACTCCCAGCAGTTGTGGACTCCCATGGAGTCGGTGGCACAGCTGTACCAGAGGTTCTCGAAGATGGTGTTGGTGGTGATGACGTTCCCGTGCACGGTGGACACTCTCCAGCTGCTGTGCGCCAGGGTCACCCCCAGCGTCAGCAGCCCCACGGCTGTGAGGAAGAAGCCAAAGTTCTCCACAGCCACCGGCATGGTGGGACACAGGCCCCGAGGGGAGCCTGGGGCCCCAGAGACGGGGAGGGGCTGGGCCCCGGGGCAACCTGAGGGGGCTGTGGCCAAGGAGGGCGGTCCAGGCAGGCGAGGGAGAGAGAGGGAGGCAGGCCGCAGCCTCGGCCTCTTCCGTGGCCCAGGTCCGTCTCCGGTTTGTCTCCTGCCCCCTCCCCGGGTCTCTTCGCTTCCCTGCAGGTCCGTCAGAGGAATGAGCCAAGAGCGCACGGCAGCTGTTGACGAGGAGATGGAGGGAATAAACCAAACGGGCCAAAAGTCCACCCCCTCCCCCCTGGCCTCTGGGCTGCCCTGGGCTCCCCGCCCCTCGAGGGTGGGGGGAGAGGACTTACCGGGGAGTGACTAACGGACACGCAAAGGAGGGGCTCCCATGGGAGGCGCTGGGAGCCAAGGGAAGCGTCGGCTTCTGACTCAGCTTTCGTCGGGGGCCAGAGAATGGAGTAAGAGGGGCAAGCAAAGAGGAAGCGGCTGAGAGGCAGGAGACCGAGACTGAACACAGAGGGCCCCTGCACCTTTCAGTGGGGAAGGAGCTGGGGAGCTGAGCCGCCCTCTCTGAATGCTGGTGAGAACAGCTCAGAAAACTCAAAGACGTTGGGGTTGAGTCTCCAAGGAAGAGTAAGGTTGAATGAGGGAATGGGCAATCTGGGGGAACCCATGGCTCTGGAATCCAACCAACCGGAATTCAAACCAGGTCCTATCCTTTACCAAAGCGGCACGGGCATGAAGTCGGAGCCCCTTGAGCTTGTTTCTGTTTCCATGAACTAGAACTATTACTCCTCACTCCGTAGGCAGATCAAAGCTCCTTACAAGTATGAACTGCTCAGTACCTGGTGAATGCCCTGGGTGTCCAAGGCCCAGGTTGAGGCCACCGGGGTTGTTCTCCAAACTTCCAACTTCCTGAACTTGAATTTCTCCCCTTGTTGGGTTGATCTTTGACTCTCGGCAAAAAGCTTGATCTTGCTGCCAAAGGGGCCCTAAGTAGGGTAAATCACAAGCCCAGGACGTGATCCTCTGATAATGTAAGCAGCTCAGAGTTATCAGAACTGTCACCGGCTCTACTAATTATGACAGACTAGAAACCTCCGTGTCTCCACCCCAAGCCAATGCTGAGCACCTGTCCTGGCAGAGACAGTCTCATTTCCCACCCTGAGGCCACAGCCGGGACAGCTCCGGTTCTCTTCTGGCGAGGGTGGCTGTGGATCAGTTCTAAGGGGCCCATTCTACACCCAGGCAGTCACACGGGACATCACTGTGTGGAGGTGTAATCCCCATCCTCCTCCCTGAGCCAGGCTCCTCCATGCTGCCCACAGGTGCCTCCTCCCCTGTCTCCCCAGCGGGGGTAAGGAATGAGAGGTATGAAGTGAAGCAAGACAGGCCCAGGCTGAGCCTGGCACAGGGCAACGGGTGTGGGGCCAAGTGGACTGGGTAGAGACTGGGTCCCGACCTTCCTTCTACAACTGGGATGTCCTGGGTTCCTGACCTCTTCCATGACCTCTGCCAACTCCATGCCAAATGCCCATTTCCTCCCCTCGCACCAGCCCCCCTCCCTTAAGGAGAGGGACAGGGAGGAGGGAGGACGTGGAGGACAAAGGGAGGGAAGGGTGGAGGTTTTGGAGGAAACTGAGTGGGGGCCTCCCTGGTGTGGAAAAATCCACGCGCTGAGAGGCAGCTGAGTGGGTCAGAGGAGACATAAATTCTTGCCTGTTCCTTTAGCTCTGCCCTTCCCGCCTCTGGTCACTGTTTTTGTCAGGATTCTAAGGCTGTGCAAAGGCCACGTCCCTATGCTGCCTGCCACTGCTCAAGGACATGGCTAGTTGTGGGGGAAGGAAGGAAGGGTGTGGGATCTGGGCAGCTTGGCAGACAAAGAACCCCACAGCAGCCTCTGGGGTAGGAGTAGGAGGGCGCAGAGCAGGAATGGCCCACGTGTGACCCCCGTCAGCTTAGCCTTATATTCCATTTTCTGATCTCCCGGGCCCAACCAAACCCACCCCTTTCTCAACATGGACACAAGAGGTTCCCAAGCCCAAGTCCAATTTTATTTACACTCATTGCAAAGCACATGATTTGGGGATAGGTGACAGGTCTCGGGGAAAGGAGGGTGACAGCCACAGGGGACAGGGATGGGGTGCAGGAGAAGAAATGGATGGCCAGGGGAGTGGGCCGCTCTTCCAGTGTCCTCCACGGGCTCCCACATGTCCCTGCACAGACGCAGGGATGCCGTCTCCTTCAGGATTTGGACTTGGACACAGCAAGTCCGATGAGTCCAGCCAGTCCCGCCACGCCCAGGGCCATGCCTCCAACGATGGCCATGCCCACTAGTCCATCTGGGGAGAGGAAGAGGGAGACTGTCACGAGGACAAACCCAGTCCCTGCGGCGACCTGGCTACCACCTCACGGCCTGCTGCTCCTTGGCAGAAGACACGCCTCTTTCCCTGGAGTCCTGGGGTAAGAGGCCCTGAGGGCCGGGGAAAGAAGAGGGCTGGAGAAGGAACTGCCCGGAGGGCATCATCTGAAGAGAGCCCAGAGGGCCCAGGCATGGGGTACAGAAGAGGAGTTAACAGAGTGGAAAGGGAACCTGGGGATGCCGGGGGCCAAGGAAACATGAGGGCAGGGAGTGGAGGGAGGCGGCGGGGCAGAGAGGACGGCCTTCACCTTTCTTCATGGCCTTGTCAATGAGCCGTTCCAATTCTTTGGCCTGGTTGTTCTGCGGCTCCGTCTGCAGCAGCCCTCGCACATACTTTAGGGCCTTTTCATATTCCTGCACTCAGGGAAAACAACACACGCCCCCTCAGAATTCCATCCCTCCGCCTGCCCATCAGAGGGGCCCTCTCTGCTGGCCCTGGGGCTCCTCCCTCGACCTCCACCCGCTCCCTCGCTCCAGCCCCACCCAGAGGAGTAGAGTCCACAAACCACCCCAACTGTGTGGGGGTGATAAGCTGAAGGAGATAACAGCCCAAGGCTTGGGGCTGCACCCCAGTGCTGACATCACTTTGCTCCCCACACCCTCAGCACCCTGATCCTCTGTCTCTCGCCTTCCTTCAGTGTCCTGGCCTGCTTTCACCTTGCACCTCTGTACCCAACACCACCCCCTGCCGAGCGCCTCTCTGGCCTGGGCTCTACCCTGGAGGAGAGAGATGAGCGGGTGCTTGGCCACCCAGGTGGGGTGGAGGGGGAGAAGGAAGTGCTCTGCTTTACCTTGAGTCGGTAGTTCCCCACGGCCAGGTAGAAGACGTAATCCCGCTGCTCCTCTTTGCTCCCTTTGGGCAGCAGCTCTGGGGAGTCGGGCGGAAGGAAAAGGGTGAAAACCCCTTCTCTTCTTTCTTAGTGCCTATGTCCCAGACACCCTCTCCACTCCCTACATTCACTGTCCCGAGCCTCCACTTCAGCTCCAGTCATTCTGGGCTTTCTAGCCAGAGCCGTGGGGCAGCATGAACCCCAGCCAACACTGAGGTGTATGCAGCCCCCATATCAATACTCCAGTCAACTCTGGTTCATTCAAGTAAACTAAAAGCAAATCAGGGCACTGGACAAGCCAAAGGCATCTCTACTCCAATTGCTTGCTGCCCAGACGAGTGTTCAAAATAAGTTTTCACTCCTTCTCCTTTTAAAAAAACAGCTCCAAACTCGCCTTCAACTACCCCTCCGTGAAAGATCCCACATAACTTTCTAAGTTCAGTGACTCCCCATAAGGTTACGTGTTCAGCTGTACTCTGTGCACTAGAATTTGTTGCTAAGTGGGCAGGTGTTTATACAGCTTCCCAAGCATCTGTCTCCTCAACTGGACTGGCAATGTTTAGAGACCACTTCTGCAGCTGTGTCCTATTTCTCAGGAAACCTGAGAAATACACAAATGGAAGCTGAGATGATTTGCATTCATGAAGATTCTTACTTTTATGGATTTACAGTAGGTATCCTTGGGTAGTATAGTGATTGTTTATACACCAGTACTTGACCAAGAGAAAAGGGGTACAGAGAAATTTAAAGGTCAAGTATTGTGGCCTCTGACAAATGCTGACCTATCCAAAGTTAATGGAAAACAGGATTCTGATCAAAAAAACACCATCTGCTCACAGGTTTTGAGGACAGTCTTCTGGACTTCTACCTGACTCCCCCCAAAGGTTTTCAACAACAGCTGCTAAATAAGCAACATGGTGAGGTGTGGGGGCAAAGACGTGACTGGGACACACGAAGACAAGAGCTTCTGGTCCCATTTCAGCCATTTATTAACCACCTGTCTGACCTGAGACGAGTCACTTTCCTTCTGTCTAGACGACCAGATCAGTAAAGTCCGACGGGGACTGACATGCTATGACTGTCTGGCAAAACACCAATGAGGTAGCAAGTAGCCAAAAGCACAGTGGGAGAAGTCAGACTAAGTATAGCCCTTTCTTGCAGTGAGTTTACTGGAAGATAACTGTGAGGTGATTGTACTGAGATCCCATGTTGAAAAAGGATCCCCACACTGGAGATGGAGGGAGCAAACGGGCCAATGGTGGCAGAGGACAACGATGGCAAGTTGGGAAGGAGCGAGTTGGGGAGTCAGCCAAGCACCTCACCCTCCAGCAGAGCAAGGCCTTTACGGATGTCGTCGTTGTACTTGCTTCGCACCAGGCACCAGGCATATTCAAACTGCGTGCTCTTGGACACCGAGCCTGCTGCCTTCTCAGACTGAAATTTCCTTTCAAATTTCTGCCGCAGGAGAGGAGAGGAGTCATTTAGAAATGAAGGGGGCAAGCTGAACTCTAGCAGGACCTGGGTGTCCCTGTTATCCATCTTCTCCTTTGCCACATCCCCCGTTCGGGTCTTGGGGTACCCGACCATGGGGTACCCCAGGTTCTGCAATCTTCATCTCTGGGACCCAGGCATTCTGCTTCTTAGTGCCGGGTCGTCTCCTTTGTCTCCTTGGACCTCCCCTCTCTGCTTCCCTCCCCCTAGTGGTGCCGAGTGGAGATGCCACCTGGTGGCGGCTCCAGGCACCGCTCCCGGAGCAGCTGACCCCGAGAGGCTGGCTTGAACAGTAAACAGGCTGTCAGAACAGCTCAACAACAGTTCAGCCCACGCGGCCCCTCGTCGGAGACTGCTTCTCTCAGCCCCACCCTGCCTAGTCTGGACCCTATCTTATCTGAAGGAAAAAACGGTAATAAAAACCGTGCCTACTTCTTGTTAGAGTCACAAAGATTGAGACCTTCCCTACAAGGGACTTAGCGCTGTGCCGGATTGAGTAATATGTGAAACTTTACGGTGGTCGCTGTGTTCCCCCGCCACTGAAGGAGCACTTAAAATCAAGTGCCCGCATCCTGACCTCGAGCTTCTGACAGAACGTAGCATCCGTCAGACTCCAGGCCCCGAGTCTGAGGCGTGGTGGCATAGGAAACTACAACTCCCATTAGCCTCTGGGGCAAGGTGGACCCTCTGGGAAAGAGCCGAACGCTGCTGGGGCTGCCGGGAGCCGTAGTTCGGCTTCTCTACCCAAAATTGATGCTGGGAGGAGTGTTTGGCCCCTACCCGACTCTCCTCAGGGCCCGCCCCTCCGAACCTTCCTTTTCCCTCCCTGGGAGCCGGGCCTCACCAGCAGGTCCTCCACAGACACCAACTCGTTCAGGACGGCCTCCATGGCCGCCGGCCCCGCAGTTCTCACAATTCAGACGCTACAGCGCCACTTTCTCCATGGCCCACTGAACAGGGGCGGAGAGCCACTTCCGGTGCCCGGCGGAAGCGGGACCGCCCTCCCCTACGCAGAGCCAATCGCTTCCCGTAGCCATCGCCGAACCCGCCTCCGCCTACCGCCGCCGCGGCGCGCACCTGGGCTCAGTGATGCGCATGCTCCAACAGGCCCCTCTCCCTCACCACGGCCCGCAGGCAGCGCACAGCGCCTGGCTAGTCCTGAAGTTGGTCTTCCTGGGTACTGCAAGTGCCTCTGTCTACAGAGGCTGCCTCAGTAAAGTACGAGACTATGTCTTGATGGTTAGCCCACAGACTGAAAACAGCGGAGAGAGAAGGTGGGGATCTGGGCATGGATCCCGTAATTTTAGGATCTAGTCTAACCCTCTCTTTTCCTCCCTTCCGCACCGCCCCCCCCTCCAACTCCCTGCTCCCAGATATCTAGGACCCTAGGGACTACGTGACTTTTTAGTGCCTGCAAGAAAATCATAACTAGCACCAGGGTTTCCAGGGCCCGGGCGGACTTAAAATGCAAGAGCAAAGAAAACTATAACTGTCAACCGTAAGCCAGAGACTGGAATGCATACTAATGCGAGATGCTATTAATGGGAATTTAAAGAAAAGCTGTTGCCTCAGCTTGCACAGAAGGTCCAATATTTTAAATATCATTTAATAAAGCATCCTCTGGGTGTACTCACGGGGGAAAGGCCTTCTATGTGGGGTCATGGGCAATAAGGAGCTTGGAAGTGAGAAGCAACAAAACGTGGAAAGGGGAAATGCTGCATGCTACTCTGGCATCTGTGTTCTGTGCAGTGAAGGGCAGGTAGTGACTTTCAAATTCTCTTTACCTTGACCCACAGTGCTCCAGCACACGTGTGAATATAAGTTCCCTGAGGGCAGAAACTGTATCTTGTTTATCTGTCCATCTCTAGCTCTGAGCACAAGGTAAATGAAATGTTCAAGAAATATTTGTTGAATTGTTAGGAAATAATAGTAATGACCACAGTGCAAATGCAGGGGGTTACCATTCAAACACCTTTCACATTTGCAAACCCCTTGAATCTTTTTTCCTCATAATAGCCTTGTGAGTTAAGGTAGGAAGTTATTCTTTTCTACTTGGCTTGGACAATTGATATAAGCTCAGTAAACTTTAAGAGAAACCTCATTTAGGGAACTGGTTCCATAATAGTCAAGGAGAAAAATTTACGTTCCTTCAAAGATGTACTGAGTGCCTAAGTTTGGCTGGGCATTGGGGTGAGCAGAGAGGGTAAAAAGGTGTACATAATATGAAGCAGATGAGTGAAAATAGGGCTGAACACTAAGGGCAAGTAGGACTTATCTTCCTTTCAAGGCAGGGAATTAAGAAAGGCAAAAGTCCACTATTTCTATCAGGATGTTACTTTCCTTGGGTGGTCTGCTACCCCTCATCCATGTTTGTATCTGCTGCAGCTCTTGGCACAGGCCTGGTGTGTGGCAAAAGCTCCATCAGGGTTTGTTAAATGTAATTTGTGGAGGGAAAAAGAATGTGTTACATGGCTCAATTCTGTGCCAATGAAGAGATCTTAAGTTTGTTTCTTAGGTCTAGTAAGCATAGCCATCCACCCTGGATTATAGGGATAAGAAGTAGTGCCTGTTCATTTACTTCCAAATTACATTTCTCTGTCTTTTTCAAAAACATCTACTTCTGCTTTATTGACTACACCAAAGCGTTTGACTATGTAGATCACAACAAACTGTGGAAAAGTCTTAAAAGATAGGAATACCAGGTCACCTGACCTGCCTCCTGAGAAATCTGTATGTAGGTCAAGAAGCAACAGTTAGAACTGGACATGGAACAACAGACTGGTTCCAAATCAGGAAAGGAGTATGTCAAGGCTGTATATTGNGACTGATGCTGAAGCTGAAACTCCAATACTTTGGCCACCTGATGCGAAGAACTGACTCAATGGAAAGGACCCTGATGCTGAGAAAGACTGAAGGCAGGAGAAGGGGACGAAAGAGGATGAGATGGTTGGATGGCATCACTGATTCGATGGACAGGAGTTTGAGTAAGCTCTGGGAGTTGGTGATGGACAGGGAAGCCTGGCGTGCTGCAGTCCATGGGGTCACAAAGAGTGGGACACGACTGAGCGACTGACCTTTTTCAATAGCATCCAAATGCAAACTGTTGTCACTTTGGAGTAGTCAGAGGGACCTTATAAAAATACAACTCTCAGTTTATCTGAAACCCTTTAATAGCTTCTCATTGCTGTTAGAACAAAGGCCAAAACCTTGCAGCAAAGCCCAGAAGGTTCTCTGTAGTCTGGTCTGGCTCCTGCTCTGCACCATCTCTCCTTCACTGCAGCCTGTCTGTACACCATCCCCACAGGCCTTCTTTCAGTTCTGCAACCCCTAGTGGCTACAGGCCCTCTGTACATGCAGTCCCTGCTATCTATCTAGAACATCTCTCCCCACCCCTGCCCCCAGCTTTGCTTATATGACTCATTCATTCATTTATCATTTAGTTCATTCAACAAATACTTATTGAGCACCTGTTATGTGCCAGGCACTGTTTTAAGTATTTGGGATCAGCACTGAATAAAGTTCTGTTCTCACAGAACTTGCACTTTAGTGGGGAAAACAGAAAAAATAATCAAGTAAATAACTAAAAACACAATAATGGCAGGAGTTTATAAAGTGCTGTGAAAACAAGAAAAGCAGGGGAAAGGGACTGTGAGAGAAGAGGATGCTGGTGGAGGAGAGCTCAAAGCAGCCCATTGTGGAGAAGTGACACCTGGACAGAGTACTGAAGTAGCCATGTAGGTGAATGGGGAGAATGTTCCAGGGAGACGGAACGGCAAGAGTCAAAGCCTTAAGGAAGGGACACATAAGAGTTGTTTAGAAAATAAGGGCAGAGAGGTAGTCAGGGGCAGATCGTGGGGGCCTTGTAGACTATGGTAAGGAATCTGGACTTTATGTGACAAGTGATGGGAAGGCATTGGAGGGTTTTGGGCAGCAGAGTGAAATGATCCAGCATACAGCAATACCTCTGGTGGCTACTGGCGTGGCCCAGGCAAGAGACAGTGGTGACCTGGTCTACAGCGGCAGCAGTGGAGGTGAAGGAGTTCAGGATATGTGGTCAGAAAGTATGGTCGGCAAGAACCATCAGCAGATGGACTAGATGTGAGAGAGGACGGTAGGATGACACATAGGTTTGTGCCCTGACTGACCTGGTGAATTCCTACTGACCCTCAGTTCTAAGCTCTAAGACTCCTCCTCAGGGAAGGCCTTCCCTGGCATCCAGATTAGGAGGGCTCCTGTTGAGAGGCTGAGCACTACCCATCCTGCATTTTCAGAATATAAAACTGTAACCCGCTCCTTCTTTTCTTAGTTAGCCCTGTGTTTTTGTGAACCACATGAGTATTGGTTTGGGTGTGGTAATAACATCTTCCAGGAGCCAAAGCCTATTCTGCTATTGTCTCTTTTATTCCCCACATTAAGGAAGGCTCACATGTGACCTGGGTCCAAAAATCACACCCAGAAGGTAAGAGTTCTGTTTGATCCATGAGGAAACTGAGACTCAAAAAGCTTAATTCATCTCCTGAAGGTCACAGAGCTAGAAGTGGAGGAGCTGGGATTTAAACCTGAGTCCTGCATCAGCGTCAGAGACGAGGAGTCAGTTAAAGAATAAACAGACAGAAAGGATACGATGAGTTTGTAAGTATGCTCCAGTTTTTATCTTTAAAAAATTTCAGTGTAAATTTGTCTTTTTTTTTTTGTTTTGCACAGTAGAGGACTTCCCTTAAGCAGCAGATGAATGAGGAAGGAACAATTCAGATTAATTCAAAATGAAAACAGGCAAAGCAATCCCATTACCTGCACCTCNACAAATAAAAAACGTATGACCTTCTCAAATTCAGTCCTGTGAGTGGGCAGAAAGGAAACTGACATTTTTTGTTGGTGGAACCAAAACCTAGAATTGGTACTTGGTGGCAGAGGCACTCCTTTGATGACACCAGAAATTGGAGCCTGTTTCGGACTTCTGCCCTACAGCATCTTGTCAGGTCAGCCCAGAAGTTCTCAGCAAACACCCACCAAACAGGATCTCACTATTATTTTTTAAAAGTTAACAGGAGATCAAACCAGTCAATCCTAAAGGAAATTAACCCTGCATATTCATTGGAAAGACTGATGCTGAAGCTCCAATACTTTGGCCACCTGATGCGAGGAGCCAACTCACTGGAAAAGACCCTGATGCTGGGAAGGATTGAGGGCAGGAGGGGAAGGGGTGACAGAGGATGAGATGGTTGGATGGCATCACCGACTCAATGGACATGAGTTTGAGCAAACTCCGAGGGATACTGGAAGACAGGGAAGTCTGGCGTGCTGCAGTCCACGGGGTCGCAAAGAGTCGGACACGACTTAATGACCGAACAACAACAATCTATTATTTATTTGGCTGCGCCAGGTCTTAGTTTTGGCATGCGGAATCTAGTTCCCTGACCAGGGATGGAACCTGGGCCCCCTGCATGGGAGCGCGGAGTCTTAGTCAGTCGACCACCAGGGAAGTCCCAAGGGTTCCACTGTTCCTGTTCTGATCTTCAGTGACCAGTCTCCTCTACTTCCCACTTTCATCTACTGTTTAATTAGACAGGAAGTCCTGTCAACCCCCAACTGATTCATTCATCCATCCAACAAAACATTTCGTAAGGGTCTGCTGTGTTCCAGGCACCCTTCTAAGTGCTGGGTAAGAGAAATGAACTAAACAGACATAAATCCTTCTCCCATGGAAGTCAATCTTAGCAGAAGAGAAAAGACAACTAAGGAATAAATACATAATATCAGGCCACGGCTGCCTCCATTCTGTCCTCATACTCTTTAGGCCTTCACGTGTTTTCCTCTTTCAACCCAGTCTGGCTGCTAGCTGCATTTTATTTTATTTTTGCCAGCTGCATTTTAAAGTGCAGATCAGGCCCCACATCTCCTGATTAAAATACCGTCTAGGCTACTCAGGACATGGTTGAAATTTCTTATGATGCATACAAAGCCCTTCAGGATCGCCTTTGCTTACCTCTCCAGCTTCGTCTCCAGGCACCCATGCGCCCTGCACACGGAGAGTTTTCATGACGGCCACCTTTCTTCCACTCGGAATGCTCTCCAACCAGAGCTCTCCATCCACCAAACATCTGAGTCCCTGCGTGGCCGGCAACTAACTGCTAGGCTCAGGGCCGTTACCCTCCGGGGCAGCTCTTATCACCCAGTACCACAGCCCTTTATGTGGACCGGGACCGTGTCTTGTTTATCTCTCTGCCAAAGGGCAGACACCCAAGAATTGTTCGTGGGGTGAATGAGAGAGTAACGGCAGGCATTCTTTAAAAAAAAAAAACGCTAAGAACTTCGGCGACATCTGCACTTCCGGGTAGCGGCTCGGTCGGCCCCGGAGGTAAGGGTGACCCCCAGGGTCTGCTCTAGGAGGAGGGCTCGGTGACCCGGAGGACCCGGGAAGACTCGAGCGGGAAGAGCGCGCAGTCTGGGTCTGGGCAGTCTCCGCCCTCTGGGAGGAGGCGGAGCCGAGACGAGCCCTGGGCGGGGCGCGGAGGCCCCGCTGGCCAATTAACGTGAGCATCTTCGCGGGAGGGGCGGGGTGCGGTGTGACTGAGAGGCGGAAGGGCGGTGCCGAGGCCTGGGATTCCCGAATCTCAGTTCTCGCCCTTGTGGTCCGGGGTGAGAGGGGTTCTCCTTGCTAATCCTTAAACCAGAGACGCTCTCTGTAAATGAAAATTTATCTGTTGCCTCCTTTAGAGTCTGTCTCGCATCTATGTGATGAGGGCGCACAACGTGCCCAGGAATCACCTGGAATCTTGTTAAGTGCAGAGTTGGTTCAGTAGGTCTACGGTGAGGCCCGAGATGTTGTGTTCCTAATTAGCTCCGAGAGGACACCGATGCTGTGCCTTCTCTAACACACTTTGAGGAGCTAAGGTGTGAAACAGTGGTTCTTAAAGGTGGTCCCCGGGCTAGCAGCTTGGACATCACCTGAGAATTGTTTAGAAATGCACATTATTGAGCCCGGCTCCACACCTGCGTAGCAATCTGGGATTGGGGCCCCGGCAGTCGGCTGTTTTTACAAGCCCTGTGGGTGATTCTGGTGCGCAGTGCTCCCTGGACTTTGAGAACCACTGAACAACAACAACAAAATTGAGCCTCATTTCTCTACAGACTGTGACTGTGTTAGTTTGCTTTATCTTGTTAAGTTTCTTCAGCCGAAAACTCAGGGTGAAAATACTGGTGCCTTCCTAATGAATCTCTTAGGAGGAAACGTGAGAATGACTGTAAAGCACTTGGCACACATAATAAACATTTTATAACGGTTATGAGAACATTAGTGTGAGGGGACAGAAAAAGACTTTAAAAGGAATGAGGGATGGGGGGAGATCTAAGCATACGCAGAAATGATTTTATTCTTGCAGGCCACTAAAGCGGAAAAGACGGCTGCAATGGTAGTTAACACAATAGTGATACTTCTCAACTGTGGTGATTATCCATAAAGCCTTTCGTTTGGACAGCGAATAAATTCACTTATTTGGAATGCCTCTTTCAGATGAGTGAATTTTAGAGAGCAATAACAGACAAAAAGAAATTTTTTGCTTTTGTTTGTCTTTGTGTGTGTGTGTGTGTGTTTTCAAACAACAGATGTGCCTTAAACTATCTAGGTGTGATATTCCTATTTGTCTATTCTGGGAATGACATCACCATTTACCACTTTGGTCATAGGATGTGAAAAGGGGAATAAGGCAAAATCAGAAACAGGCAAGAGAAATTTCTGGATCAGTTTTTGTTCAGCAATGAATTCAGGCTGCCAAAAGAACTAGAATCTCTTTCATCCCTGCCTCATACACTGCTCTCATCCAACCATGAGCTGCCAGAGTACTGACTCTAGGAACTCTTTCAGAACTCACTGACCTTCCAGGATAAAGCTGTATACATTACCAAAGATGCATAGAGTTTCTTGGAACAGGGTCAGAGGGCCTCTTTCTAGACGTTCATGCTGCTCCTACACTGGAGTGGGTTGCTATTTCCTTCTTCAAGGCATGAAAGTGAAAAGTGAAAGTGAAGTTGCTCAGTGGTGTCTGACTCAGTGACTCCATGGGCTGCAGCCTACCAGGTTCCTCCATCCAAGGGATTTTCCAGGCAAGAGCACTGGAGTGGGGTACGATTGCCTTCTCCAAGACTGTCATGCTAGAGAATTACAAAAATGTGGTTTTAGTTGGTAAGGATTCTGCCTTGTAGAGAGGAGGCCTTTTGAATTTTTGTTCTAGTGAAGATTTATTGCTCTAATGACCACAACTCTTAATTTAGCCATTATGTGCGTGTGCATGTAAATTCCATTTTGTTAATATTAGTGGTGGAGGTAAGGTAGCATCGTTCCTATGAAACTAGAAATCAATTACAAGAAAAATATGGGAAAATCACAAAAACGTGGGAATTAAACAACATGCTACTGATCAACCAGTGTCATCAAAGTAGTCAAAGGAGATATCAAAACATACCTAGAGACAAATGAAAACCGAAATATAGCATACTAAAATTTATGGAGGAGGGGTACTTCCCTGGCAAGGGATTTGGCGCTTTCACTGTGACCCAGCTTTGGTCCCTGGTTGGGAAACTAAGATCCTGTAAGCTGTGCAGCCAAAAAATAAAGAGCTGGAAAAAAAAAAGGGAATATTTGAGATGAGCAGTAGCTGGGTAACTCTGCTGAAGGTCACAATTTAATCTGTATTTTTAGGGTAAATTAGGAGGATGCCAGTGTGATGAAAGCTGCATGTTTGTTTTACATCAAACCTTTAGAAAGGACTGAAGACCTTTAATTTAGCCACTCACATTTTTAAAGTGAAAAACGAGGATTAAAGAAGTGAAGTAGCATTCTCAGTTCCTCGGTCTTCCGGTTCTTGATCCATAGCAGTTTTTCTATGCGCTACTATCTCTTTTGATATGTGGTAGATCAGCTTTTCTAAAAAAGTAATTCTGATGCACAATCATCAGTTTCTGGTAGAAAGTTAGGTAGCTCGATCATTCATGAAGAAGAATGTCTGCTTGAGCTAGATTACTCAAAATGTTCTGGTCTCAAAAACATCCCCTCCCACCACTTGGAAGTGTTCAGATGCTAGAAGGGATGTTGCAGAAGGTCAGCTGTGACTAAGAGCTGAACAGAGGCTGCTTCCTCTGAAAAAAAATGAGATCATATCAAGCTGCACACATCTGAGAGCCAGCTAAGACACCAAACCTTCCTAAATGTCAAAATTCTTTAGGTATTTTTTAAAACGTTAAGACTTTTACTGACTTAATGGCTGAGACCAGATGAAAGCAGTGGAAGAGCCCAAGGAAACGGGAAGTTTAGATAAATCTGTATGTGCTTGGAAGGTTTTTTTGTTCAGTGTTGAATTGCCTGAGCTTTATGGACTGAAGGGTGAGCCCCCAAACTCATGTGTTGAAAGCCTAACCTCCAGGCTCAAAGAATAAATGTATCTGGAGACAAGATCTTTAAAGAAGTAATTAATTTAAAATGAGGCCATTAGCCAGTATGACTGGTGTCCTCAGAAGACGAGGAAATTAGGACACAGACACACGGGGGACGGTTGTGTGAGGACGCAGGGGGAAGACACCCAACAATGACTCAAGACAAGAAGCCTCAGACACCTGTGACCCCTTGATCTTGGACTTCCAGCCTCTAGAACTCGGAGGGAATAAACTATTGTTGTTTAAGACTCCCCCCTCCTCCCACCTCGTTACACTCCCCTAGTTGGTGATGCTTTGTTAGGGCAGCCCTAGCAAAATAATACAACATGCAAAAGTCATTTTGCATGAGAAAATTCATTTCTTTTTTCCAATCCTACAGAAATATTCTTTACAAAATATTGGTAAATGCAGAATGCAGTCCTCCCTTGGGTTCTGTTCCAGAATTTTGTGGCTCAGACTCCCAGGCAAGCCTTGTGCCTTCCTGGCCTCTCTGACTGCTTCTGCCATTTTCTCTGAGTCTGGAATGCAGAGAGCTTTTCAGATGTTGTTGTTCAGACACTACGTGGTGTCTGACTCTTTGGGACCCCATGGACGGTAGCCCACCAGGCTCCTCATCCATGGAACTTCCCAGGAAAGAATAGTGAGTGGGTTGCCATGTCTTCCTCCAGGGGATCTTCTTGACCCAGGGATCTGGGTCTCCTGCATTGTCATGTGGATTCTTTACTACTGAGCCACTGGGAAAGCCCAGTTTTTCAGATACTGGAGCTTAACTCCAAAAGGCCCTGAGATAAAGGTCTTTGCATACCTCTTGTGATTGCCAGGGGTCTCCCGGCTTGCACCGGTCCCATAACCCTACTTGGCGTTCTGCTGCACGGATTTGCAGTGTGGGAGGTGTCCCTCACTTGGTGAGTCTGGAGGGACGAGCCCAAAGCTGGGCTTCAGTGCCCTTCCTGAAGCAGGTGGGGTGGTAGTGCCCGTGCTCAGTGAGGGGCTAGACTTGAGGACCTGTGAGACCCAACACACTTTCCTCCCATGATCTGACCAGACCTGGGTCATCCTACTCCCCCTCAACTGGCGCTTCCAGCCCTCCAGGGAGCTGGAGGGGTCTTTCTTCTGACTACACAGCCTGCAGCCTCACAGGGCTGGTGGGGCAGGAGCCAGATCCCTGTTGATTCAGATGAAATGTTAATTAAAATGTTTAGCCCTAAGGGTGGGGTAGAGAGATCAACCTCCATGAACTATTACAGTCTAATAACAGGCATCATATACTGAGCACTTACTGTGTGCCAGCCTAGAGATAAATTCTCCCTGCATCCTTCCAGCAACTCTCCATGGTGGCTCTTGTTATACCCATTTTCCAGATAAGGACACAAACTCAGATTAGAACATTGAGGCGCAGAGAGGAGAAATAATTTGCTAGGTCTCCACAAGCTAGCAGGTAGCAGAGTCAGGACCCACCACATACCTGGTACAACGTCAGGTGGGAGAACTACAAAGATAAAGAAAAATCCAGGCCCTTCTCATGGGAAAGTCATTGATTTATGAGGGAACATGGGAAAGAAATTATTGCAATATGATGGGCAGGGTATTCTCTTTCAATTATGCTGATGATGAGAGCACAGAGGGGAGGAGTCTTGAAGGCAAGACTGCAAAGTTAAAGACAAGTTTTGAAGAAGTGATGGCAGAACTGAGTTTTGAAAGCTGAGGAGTAGCTGGCCAGGCAGAGAAAAGGATGAAGCAGAGTTTAGGGCAAAAGCTAAGAATATGTCTTTGGAGTCCTGCCCCTACTTGGATACAGGTCCAGTACCTAATAGTTGAAAGACCTTGATCAAGTTTCTCAACATCTCTGCCTATTTTTAAATCATATTTAAGATGAAAATAATAATAATAACCAGTTGATACTGTTGCTCTGAAGATCAAATGAAATAATGAGTTCTGCCTTTTAAAAAAAAAGTGAAAGTGTTAGTTGATCAGTTGTGTCCCACTCTTTGCAATCCCATGGAC